AATAATAATAATAATAATAATAATAATAATAATAATAATAATAATAATAATAATTGACAACCGCTATGTATGGCTGTCTAAAACAGGCCTGACATAGGACTGAGTCTATTAACAGTCTCTCATGGATTGATGAGGGACTCACAAGTCTCTACCCCTCTCTGATGAACTATTGGCTATTGACGGATTCTAGTAGGTACAGTCTGTACCTACTGATAATCCCACCAGAGTCCCTCAGATAATTCCAAGTCCAAGGTCACACAGAGGACTCTGGTTAAACTCAATGGGTCTCAAGAAAAAGAGAGAAAACTACATAGCTTTAAAGACCATGCCTGGAAATACCTCCACCTCCAAGAGGACCAGAGGGGTGCCAGGCACACAAGAGTCACTTCCTTACTCTCAGGACGTGTTTACAGTGACCAACGGGGAAACTTACCTAACTGTCACTGGTGAATGGGGTGCTGAGCAATTGGTGAACTGAAAGATGAGTCTGTTGTGGGTTGACTGGAGATGAGGGATAAGGTTCCAATATGGCTCAGGCCCCCAGAGGGAGCACAGGCATCAGGAGAGCCTATCCAAGTTACAGCACCAAATGTAAGTGCTACAGTTCTGAGGTGGAAAAAAAAAAAGGCTTCCATAATGGAAGTGTTACAGCTCTGCTCAGGCAAGGTTTCCCCAAAGCAAGTGTAACAGCTCTGCTCCAGCCAGAAAAGGTTTCCCCAGAGGAAGTGTTGCAACTCTGCTGGGAAAGGTTTCCTTGGCAATTGGGAACCAAGGAATACTACAAAGTCACACCGCACAACAAATCTCATATGAGAGATTTATTGAGAGGGGAAAACCCAGGAGGGTGGCTGCCCCTACTTGGATGAAAAGCAGCAGGGAACTGAGAAAACAAGCCTTACATAGGTTTTCTTTGAGGGGGGTTGGGGTGAGTAGCTTTCCAGGGTGGGGATCGGTGGGATTCAGGATCTGAACTTGGGCTTTTTACTCTGTAGAGCAGAGCTTGGCCACCTACATCTAGAGCGGCTGAATCCAGCCACTAGAGTGTTCTGTGGGTGGAGCCTGACAAATGGAGGTCCTCAGGGGTGGGGCCTGGCCACACACACCTTGAGGGGCTTTCACAGTAGAGTCTAAAGAACAAAGCTCAGAAGCCATCCTGGCACATCAGACTGCCATCGTATAAACGCAGAAACAAATGGCCAATGAAGAATCGTGGAGACGCAGGGGCCACCTGTTGCACACAGCTCCTCACATCCTTTTCCAGTTTCTAAGCCCATCGCAAGGAAGACCTGGTGTTCTTACTTGGGGGAGCCAGGTGGATCACATATCCATCACCCACATAGATGGCCCAGTGTCTGTAGAGAGGGCGGAAAATCTCAATCAGGTCTCCAGGCTTGGGTTCTGGCTGAAAACCAAGAACAGGACTATTAGCAATGGCGTGAAAGCTTGAGACCAGTCAGCTGGGTCGAGAAGGGATCAGCTGCAGTAGGCAGGCCCATTGGACGCAGACCCTGCAGATCTACTGCTGGTTCATCTCCCAAGGCCATGAGGGAACATGCCACACCCCCCATCCTCACCCTCACCCCAAGATCTAAGCGTGCCATAATTAAACACTGCAAAATGAGGGCTGGAGAGATGGCTCAGCAGTTAAGAGTGCTTACTGCACTGGGTGTGGTGGTCCATGACAGAAATACTAGCACCCAGGGAGGCAGTGGCAGACGGATCTGTGTGAGTTCAAGGCCAGCTTGGTTTACAAAGTGAGTCCAGGACAGCCAAGGCTACACAGAAAAACCCTCTCTCAAAAAACCAAAAAGCAGGGCTGGAGAGATGGCTCAGGGTTAAGAACACTCGCTGTTCTTCCAAAGGTCCTGAGTTCAATTCCCAGCAACCACATCATGGCTCAAAACCATCTATAGTAAGTGCTAATGTACAGGCAGAATGTTGTATAAATAAATAAATCTTTAAAAACAAACAAACAAGAAAAAAACTGCAAACCTAAAATGTCTCTTAGCTTTGTCTGTTTAGTGCTAATTACTGAACTCTCGCTCAAGGAACCGAGTCAGAATGACGTAGGTTAGGACTAAAGAAATGGTGGTGCACACCTTTAATCCCAGCACTCAGGGGGCAGAAGCAGGTGGATCTCATGAGTTTGAAGCCAGCCTGGTCTACAGAGTCAGTTTCAGGGACAGCCAGGGCTACACTGAGAAACCGTGTCTCAAAAAACAAAAACAAAAAAAAAGAAAGAAAGAAAGAAAGAAAGAAAGAAAGAAAGAAAGAAAGAAAAGAAAAACAAAAAGAAAGAAATGGCTCCGCAATTAAGAACACTGAGTGCTCTTACAGAAGACCCAGGTTCAATTCCTAGCACTCACAAAGTGTCTAACTCCAGTCCAGGGAAACCTACTGCCCTTTTCTGCCCTCCCTCTGGCAGTAGGCACGCATATGGCACACACATATAAATGCAGTTAAAATGCTCATGCACAGAAAACAAGTAAATGCTTTTTAAATGACTTCTGTGCTAGCCTGGCCACATAGTGAGACCCTGTCTCAAACCTCTTTCCTCACCCCCCCCCCCACCCACCAAAAAAACACCTTATTACAGTGACAAAAAAATTTCATTTAAAATGTAACACTCTGGCCTACAGAATATTTAGTTATTTACAAAATAATAAATAAAAAGTCATACTCCCAAAGCTCCACACTGTATTAATTTTCTTTATATGGCATTCCAAAGTTGACATAAATATAGGACAGAAAACTGATCAGCAATCCTGAGGGACTGGGGTGGGGAGAAGCATCACAAGAAAAAAGCATGGGGGCTATTAGGGTCATTAAACTGTGCTGTTCTATACTTTTCTTTCTTAGTTTCTTCCTTGTATACAAATGTAATGTAATCACATTCCCCACCCCCACCATTCTCTCCTGTCTTTTCCCCTTTCCCGATGACCCCGTTTATCATCTCAGCTGGTCCTTTCCTATTTTCATGTCTTCATTTTGAACAGGTCTCATGCAGGGAGGGGGTCATGGCTACTGTATGTTCATGGCATGCATAATGCAACGGCCATGTCATAGCCTAGACAATGCTCCCCAGAACTCCTCCCCATGCTCTGGCTTTTACAGTCTTTCACCCCATCTTCCTCAATGTTCCCTGGTCCTTGGAGTGAGTGATATAGATGTCCGATTTAGGACTGAGCATTCAACAGTCCCTTATCCTCAGCACTGTGACTCAGTTATGAACCTCTGCTTTGTCACCCAATGGACTTAAGGCTGTGAGTGTTCTGTACCTTGCCTGGGGTGGCAGTTCACCTGTGTTTATAAAATGCAAAAGTTTAAGGGGTAAACTATTAAATTTGGGATTTTGTTTTGTTTTGGTTTTGAGACAGGGTCTCACTTAGCCCAGGCTGGCCTGGAACTTGCTATGTAGCTGAGGACAACTTTGTACTGTTTTCCCACGCCCACCTCCCAACTAGAGCTTCCAGTGTGCATCACGGCAGCCTGCCCTCTTTCTGCTGTTTTAACTGAACTTATTATCCTCCACATGTTATTGCCTGGTTAGGGTACACATTATTAAAAATAAAACTTAGACGAGTCTAGTGCTACACACCTTTAATCCCAGCAAAGGCAGGTGGATCTCTGCGAGTTCAAGGCCAGCCTGTTCTACATAGTGAGCTCCAGGCCAACCAGGACTACATAATGAGACCCTGTTTCAAAAGCAAAACAAAACACAAGAAGTAGTAATAATAAGGAACTAGAGATATGACTCTGTGGTTCAGAGTGCCTACTGCTCCTGCAGGTAACCCAGTGTCTGTTTCCAGCACTCCCAGCAGGCAGCTCACAGCTGGCTGTAACTCCAGCTTCAGGGATCTGACAGTGTTCTGGACTCCAAAGGCCCTGACCTGCACGTAACAAGGTTTTTACATACTTTGTAAGTAACTGTTCTCTCTCTCTCTGAAACAGCCGGGTTGTTGCAGCAGAGACTCTGTAGCCTGAAAATCCTAAAGTGTTCTGGGAGATATCTCAGTAGTAAGGCGCTTGCTTTGCTTGACATGCATTTAATCCCTGGCACACACATGAAAAAGTCGGACACGGTGAGGTCCCATTTATTGATTGTTCCTTAGAGCAATATCAGCTCTAAGGAAGAGAGATGGAGAAGGGAAAATCCCTTGAGTTTGCTATCCAAGCTATCAAGCATAACTGGCAGTCCACTCCAGGCCAAAGATCTGTCTCAAAAAAAAAAAAAAAACAAAAAAAAAAAAAGAAAAGAAATGTTTTCAACACCAAAGAAACAAGATTATTCTGAAGTTCTGTGAAATTTTTAAAGGTACAAACCACAATTGTCTCTACTCTAGGAATTTCTTTTGCTACATGAGGCATTATCATGGTTTTGTTGTTGTTGTTTGGATTTTTGTTTGTTTTTGAGCAAGCAGCAGTTAAATGAGATTACAGAAGCAGAATGAGTGTCTGGTTAATATTTTAAGATAATAATTACACAATCAGGGGAAGGAAAAACAATTTTTTGGAAATGAACCAGGTGACTCTAAGATCATTTTCCTCTTAGATTGCCATCAAGATTCAGCTGCTGATGGGTCAGGGTCCAAACACCCTATGCTTAACAATCCTTAGGCTAAGAATAAGGTCCTGCTAGCTCCTAGGTTTTCCTTTTTTCACACAGTAACTCAGTTTGAAATGGAGCAAGTTTTTAAACATTACCTTATCTTCTGGCCTTGGAAGGATACAAACACACCACACACATAAATAATAGTTTAAAAAAAAAACTAAAGGGGCTGAAAAGGTGGCTCAGCGATTAAGAGTACATAGTTTGTGCAGGTGACCCAAGTTTGATCCCAAGCACCCACATCAGGCAGCTCACATCACATACCCACACAAAGACACACACACTATTAAAAATAAACTAAGTCTTAAAACAATAAACTGGATATATGCCTAGGCGTGGTATAGCTGGATCTTGAGGAAGCACTATTCCTAACTGTCTGAGAAAGCACCAGATTGATTTCCAAAGTGGTTGTATATAAATTTACATTCCCACCAGCAATGAAGGAGGGTTCCCCTTTCTCCACATCCTCTCCAGCATGTGCTGTCACCTGAGTTTTTGATCTTAGCCATTCTGATGGGTGTAAGGTAAAATCGTAAGGTCATTTTGATTTGCATTTCGCTGATGACTAAGGACATTGAGCATTTCTTTAAGTGTTTCTCTGCCATTCGATACTCAATTGAGAATTCTGTGTTTAGCTCTGTACCCCATTTTTTTAAATTGGATTACTTGATTTGTTGCTTTTTAACTTCTTGAGTTCTTTATATATTCTGGATATTTGCCATTTGTCAGATATAGGGTTGGTAAAGATCCTTTCCCAGTCTGTAGGCTGTTGTTTTGTTCTGATGACCGTGTCCTTTGCTTTACAAAAGCTTTTCAGTTCACGAGGTCCCATTTATTGATTGTTGCTCTTAGAGCCTGTGCTGTTGATGTTCTGTTCAGGAAGTTGCTGCCTGTGCCAATGAGTTCAAGGCTCTTCCCCACTTTTTCTTCTAACAGATTTAGTGTGTCTGTTTTATGTTGCAGTCTTTGATCCACTTGGATTTTAGTTTTGTGCAGGGTGATAAATATGGATCTATTTGCATTTTCTACGTGTAGACATCCAGTTACACCAGCACCATTTGTTGAAGATGCTGTCTTTTTTTCATTGTATGGTTTTGGCTTCTTTGTCAAAAATCAAGTATCTGTTGGTATGTGGGTTTATTTCTGGGTCTTCTATCCATTGATCCACCATTCTGTTTCTATGCCAGTACCATGCAGTTTTTATTACTATTGCTCTGTAGTACAGCTTGAGATCAGGGATGGAGAGATCTCCAGATGATCTGTTGTTGTACAGGATTGTTTTAGCAGTTCTGGGTTTTTGTTTTTCCATATGAAATTGAGAATTGTTCTTTCAAGTTCTGTAAAGGACATTTGTTCAAACATGTTCGTAGCAGCTTTATTCATAATAGCCAGAATCTAGAAACAACACAGATGTCCCTCAACTGAAGAATGGATACCGAAATTGTGGTACATTTACACAATGGAATACTACTCAGCAATTAAAAACAAGGAAATCATGAAATTCACAGGCAAATGGTAGGAGCTAGAAAAGATCATCCTGAGTGAGGTATCCCAGAAGCAGAAAGACACACATGGTATATACTCACTTAAAAATGGATATTAGACATATAATATAGGATAAACACACTAACATCTGTACACCTAAAACAGTTAAGCAAGAAGGAGAACCCTGGGCAAGATGATCAATCCTCATTCAGAAAGGCAAACTGGATGGACATCAAAAGAGGGAGAAAACAGGGAACAGGGCAGGAGCCTACCACAGAGGGCCTCTGAAAGACTCTACCCAGCAGGGT